GGTGACCAAGGCCAACATCAACAGGGATCCACAGATAAATCGTGTTGGTATCACGTGCCCTGACTCTGTGCGGTGAGCATGCTCCACACCAGTGGTGCTCTTCCCTGAACCCCAGTCTATTGCGAGGAAAACATCAGAGAATCCAAAAGGCATCCTTCAAAACAGGACCAGCACGGTGCCGCCAGACAAGGCCCACGGGGGCCCTGAGAGGGGGCGGCTGAAAAGCTTGGAAAACACAGACAAGAGAATGAAAGCTGAGTCTCGGTGGGATGCTGCTTCCTGAGAGACAGCACCCAAGCCCACAGCCGAGGCTTTGTTTTGTAGCAGATGCCTCGAGGCAAAGGAAGGGCTTGGTCAACAAGTTTGCAGCATTCTCAAGGGTTTCCATCCTACTCCATTACATGCACCTGAGCAAACCTGGGTTACCTGCAGCCTATATCACTCAGGCAAGTGGGGCCACGTGTTCAGACCACAGGTTCCAGCTTACAGCTCTAGCTGTCGGATTAAATTGTGCTGGGAGGCTCTGCCTTCCAAGCTGGGACATGCACGTGGCCAAGGGAGGACTGGGTCCTCTCATGAGTCCCAGTCTTGAACCTGTCCACATGCTGCAGCCCCTCTCCACACAGCACCCTCCACGCTCGTCAAGGTCATTACAAACAAAGACGACAGGAGACACTGCACAGACGGGGCAAAAAGCAGTGCGGGGTTCTGGGTAGATCCTCCAACAGAAGAAGGCTGTTAGAGAAAGACTAGGGAAACACAAGTCTATAGTCCGGTTCAAGCAGGACACCAGCACTCACTTGTTAGCTGTGTCGGCCCAGGGGTTACGGGCTATGAACAACTGGACAGACTAGCTATGCAGACCTGTGTGCAAGCAACCCTGTACTCACTATGCATTCGTGGGGGGAAATCTAGAATTATATCAAAATAAAAAAATTTATTTTTAGAAATGTAATGAACAGCTCTGGCCAATTATGTTCAGTGGTAAGAGCATCAACCCAAGGAATTGTTTGTGGGTCCAACCCCTCAACAACCATTGGGTGAGGTTGAGAGTGGGTCCCGCTCCTCAGCAACCATTGGGAGATGTTGGAAATGGAACCCGCCCCTCAACTCCCATTGGATGAGGTTGGCAGTGGGACCCTCCCCTCAACTCCCATTGGCTGATGTTGGCAGTGGGACCCGCCCCTCAAATCCCATTGGCTGAGGTTGGCTGTGGGTCCAGCCCCTCAACTCCCATTGGCTGAGGTTGGTAGTTGGACCAGCCCTTCAACAACCATTGGGTGAGGTTGGCCATGAGACCCGCCCCTCAGCTACCATTGGCTGAGGTTGGCAGTGGGACCCACCCTTATACAACCATTGGCTGAGGTTGGAGGTGGGACTGGCCCCTCAACTATCATAGGATGAGGTTGGCAGTGGGACCCGCCCCTCAACTCCCATTGGCTGAGGTTGGCCATGGGACCAGCCCTTCAGCTACCATTGGCTGATATTGGCAGTGGGACCCACCCCTTTATTACCATTCGGTGAGGTTCAAAGTGGGTCCCATCCCTAAACAACCATTGGGTGAGGTAGCAAGTAGGTCCACAAGGCAGGACACAAATTAATTACAGAAATACAGATCTCTCTGAACAACCCCCACCTTTAGGCCCAGTCCACTTTTATTGGTCCCTCCTCCTCCTCTTTGCACAGGAACAACCTACCCTCAAGGACCCAGGGCAATTGTGTCATCCCTAAGCACCTCCTTCCCCCCCTCCCCAGCCTTCCTCCCATTACCAGTTGGCTCTATGTGTCTCTCTCCCAGTGCTCACTGTGGGATGGAAACCACAGCAGGTGTACAGTGAACGCCCTGGCAGACACCCCGGGATCCTGGTGACCAAGGCCAACATCAACAGGGATCCACAGATAAATCGTGTCGGTACCACGTGCCCTGACTCTGGGCAGTGAGCATGCTCCACACCAGTGGTGTTCTTCCCTGAACCCCAGTCTATTGCGAGGAAAACATCAGAGAACCCAAAAGGCATCCTTCAAAACACAGGACCAGCACTGTGCCGTCAGACAAGGTCCAGAGGGGCCCTGAGAGGGGGCGGCTGAAAAGCTTGGAAAACACAGACAAGAGAATGCAGGCTGGGTCTCGGTGGGATGCTGCTTCCTGAGAGACAGCACCCAAGCCCACAGCCGAGGCTTTATTTTGTAGCAGATGCCTCGAGGCAAAGGAAGGGCTTGGTCAACAAGTTTGCAGCATTCTCAAGGGTTTCCATCCTACTCCATTACATGCACCTGAGCAAACCTGGGTTACCTGCAGCCTATATCACTCAGGCAAGTGGGGCCACGTGTTCAGACCACAGGTTCCAGCTTACAGCTCTAGCTGTCGGATTTAATTGTGCTGGGAGGCTCTGCCTTCCAAGCTGGGACATGCACGTGGCCAAGGGAGGACTGGGTCCTCTCATGAGTCCCGGTCTTGAACCTGTCCACATGCTGCAGCCCCTCTCCACACAGCACCCTCCACGCTCGTCAAGGTCATTACAAACAAAGACGACAGGAGACACTGCACAGACGGGGCTAAAGGCAGCGCGGGCTTCTGGGTAGATCCTCCAACAGAAGAAGGCTGTTAGAGAAAGACTAGGAAAACACAAGCCTATAGTCCGGTTCAAGCAGGACACCAGCACTCACTTGTTAGCTGTGTCGGCCCAGGGGTTGTGGAAGCTGTGAACAACCGGACAGACTAGCTATGCAGACTTGTGCGCAGGAGCCCTGTACTCACTGTGCAATTGTGGGGTAAATCTAGAATCATTCCAAAATAAAAAAAAATAAAAATAAATTATTTTTAAAAAATGTAATGAACAGCTCTGGCCAATTGTGTTCAGTGGTAAGAGCAACAGCCCTAGGACTGGTTTGTTGGTCCCACCCCTCACCAACCACTGGGTGAGTTTGGAAGATGGTCCCGCCCATCAACTACCATTGGGTGAGGTAAGAAGTCAGACCAGCCCCTCAACAACTATTGGGTGAGGTTCCAAATGGGTCATACCTCTTCACAACCATTGGCTGAAGTTGGCAGTGGGACCAGCCCTCAACTACCATTGGGTGAGGTTGGCAGTGGGACCCGCCCCTCAATTCCCAATGGGCGAGGTTGGCACTTGGACGGCCCTTCAACTCCCATTGGATGAGGTTGGCAGTGGGACCAGCCCCTAAACTGCTATTGGCTGAGGTTGGCAATGGGACCCGCCCCTCAACTCCCATTGGGCGAGGTTAGCACTTGGACCCGCCCTTCAACTCCCATTAGATGAGGTTGGCAGTGGGACCTGCCCCTCAGCTACCATTGGTTTAGGTTGGCAGTGGGACCCGCCCCTCAACTACCATTGGGTGAGCTTGGCAGTGGGACCCAACCTTCAGCTACCATTGGCTGAGGTTGGCCATGGGACCAGCCCCTCAACTACCATTGGTTTAGGTTGGCAGTGGGACCAGCCTCTCAGCTACCATTGGCTGAGGTTGGCAGTGGGACCTGCCCCTCAACTACAATTTCGTGAAGTTCAAAGTGGGTCCCACCCCTTAACAACCATTGGGTGAGGTAGCAAGTAGGTCTACAAGGCAGGACACAAATTAATTACAGAAATACAGATCTCTCTGAACAACCCCACCTTTAGGCCCAGCCCACTTTTACTGGTCCCGCCTCCTCCTCACTGCTCATGGCCAATCTACCCTCAAGGACCCGAGGCAATTGTGTCATCCCTAACATGTGTCGTCGTCCCCTACCTCCCCCCTCCTTCCTCCCATTACCAGTTGGCTCTATGTGTCTCTCTCCCAGTGCTCACTGTGGGTGTACAGCAGGTGTACAGTGAACACCCTGGCAGGCACCCCAGGATCCTGGTGACCAAGGCCAACATCACCAGGGATCCATGGATAAATCGTGTTGGTACCACGTGCCCTGACTCTGTGCGGTGAGCATGCTCCACACCAGTGGTGCTCTTCCCTGAACCCCAGTCTATTGTGAGGACAACATCAGAGAACCCAAAAGGCATCCTTCAACTCTCGCTGTTGGCTACCGTTGTGCTGGGAGGCTCTGCCTCTGAGCTGGGACTTGCAGGCGGCCCCGGGAGGACTGCCCTCTCATCAGTCCAAGGCTTGAACCTGTCCACACACTACAGTGCTCTCCCCAGAGGAAAAGCAGGGGAGGGGCTGCCTGGGAAAAGTAGGAGGCAGAGAGGAGAGGGATCTGCTCTGGGGGTGGAGCCCCCTTTCCTGGGTGTCATGTTGACCAGCTGAGGGTGTCCTTGCATGTGGTGCTGGTTTCTTTCATTATATTTCACAATCTCAAACGACAGCAAACTAATAAAACTCATGCAGTGTTCACTGTGCACCCAGCTCAGCTAGCCCCAGTCCGGGGGCTAAGGAAGGAGGGTGGGTGCCTCCAGAGCCCCAGGACTGAGAGGAGGGCCCAGACAGGTTCCTTCCGCACCCCTCACCCCTGCCCGCAAACAGCGAGGCAGCGGCAGCTCAGCGTGGCCGGGGGCCGGGCCGGCCTAGCAGGCAGTGACTCCCTGGTGCCGTGGTCGGCAAACTCATCCGTCCACAGAGCCACATAGCAACAGGACGACTGAACTTTGAGAGCCACATTTTTTAAACGTAAACTCCTTCTAACGCCACTTCTTCAAAACAGACTCGCCAAGGCCGCGGTGAGCCGCCCTCCAGGGGCCAAAGAGCCGCACGTGGCCAGCTGCCCTGTCCTCGGCCTTTGCCTGCAGTGTCAGCAGCATCTCCGCTTTCCTGGGCGGCTCTGCTCCATTGTGTGGAGGGGTCAGGGCCCGCGCCACCTGCATTATTGATGCTCACGGCTGAGGCGGTGGTGCGGCGGGCGGGGAGGTGTGAGGCTGCAGACCGGCCAGGGCAGAACCAGGGCGGCGCACGGTAGCGTTCGGAGGGCCGAGGGAGCCCGGGGCAGCCAGGTCGCAGGGAAGGGAAAGGGAGAGGAGGAAGCCACTGGGAAGCCCTTCTCCCCTGGGCCTGCCATGGGCGGGAGAAAGGGCAAAGCGCCCCGGTGCCCGGAGGGACCGAGGAGGCCAGACTCAGGGGAGCAGGAGTCCGGCTCTGCCAGCGGCGAGGGCGCGGCCCGCGGGGACCGCCGCCGGGGCCGCGGGAAGGCCGGAGGCCGGGCACCTGCCTTGGATGCCGCCCTGGGAGGCCAGGGGAGCCCCGGTGGCCGCAGGAAGCCCCCGGCAGAGGGACAGGGCGGCTGCCCGCGGCCCGGGGCTGGTTCTCCGCCAGCTGCTCAGGGGGGGAGGCCGGGCAGTGCCAGGCCCCGGGGGCGCGGGCCCGGGGAGAGCCGGGAGCCCGGGGACGGCCGCGGGGGGCGCCTGGAGGACGGTGCCCCCCGAGGGGAAGGGAGGACCGGCGGGCACGGCCGCCGCCGGAGGAAAGGCAAAGGGCGGGGGCGCAGGGCGCCGCGGAGCCCCGGCGGCGGGGACACGTCGGGCGGGGACCGGGGCAGCTCCTGCCCGGACAGCGAGGCCCGCGGGGACCCGGACAGCGGCAGCCGGGGCGGCGGGACCCCGGAGCCGCGGCCCAGCCCGGAGCAAACGGACGCGAGCTCGGGGGACCCCCAGCCCGGGCCGGCGGCAGCGCGGGCGCAGGGCGCGCCCCGGAGCAGCGACGGCGGGAGCAGCGACTCCGAGCCGCACTGCGTGCCCCGAGGCCGGGGAGGGTCCCTGCGGACCGGGCCCCGGGGAGCGCCGGCGGGCTCCGGGTCCGACACGGACCGGAGGCGGGAGGAGGCCGGGCCTGGGCCGGGCCCGCCGGCAGCCCCAGGGCCAGGGAGCCGGGCCCCGGAGGCCGAGCCGGGGGGCAGGACGGCCACGACCGCCGGCGGCCCCACGAGCTCGCGGGCTCCTGGGGACCCGAGTGCCGCCGGGGCGCGGCCAGAGGCTGAGCCCGGAGGGGCCCCGCGCCGCCGGGTGGGAGCGGAGCCGGGGAAGGGGCAGGCGGCGGCGGGCGAGGGCGCCGCGGAGGGCGGAGGGGGCGACGCGCCCGGGGACCCCGCGCCGCTGGCCGCGCTGGTGGCGCTGCACCGGCTCCGCGCGAGGGCGCCCCCGGACCCCGCGCCCCAGGATGCGGGTCCCCGTCGCCCAAACCTCAAGGAAAGGCTCCTCCGCGTGGCCCGGGCCCTGGGCCTCCTGCGCTGGCTCTGGCGGCTGCTCGGGCTGCGCGGGGGCGCGGGGCCGGGGCCGGGGCCGGGGCCGGGGGCGGCGGCACCGGGGGGCGAGGGCCCGGGGCGCGCGCGGGGGCTGCGGCGCCGTCTGGGGCAGCGCCTGGCCGGCGTCGTGGGACTCCGGGGGCGGCCGCGGGCTCCCCCTGCCGGCGGCCCGGGCTCCCCGCAGGTCGCGCAGAGCCCGGCCTGCCCGGACCCGACCCCGGACCCCAAGTTCGCGGTCGTGTTCCCCAGGATCCACCGGGCGGGGCGGGCACCGAGCAGCCGGAGCTCGGAGGACGCGTCCGCGGGCGCCCCCTCCAGGCAGGGGCGCGTCTGGCCCGGGGCAGGGGCCGCAGGGGCCGGGGAGGGGCGCCGGGAGAGCGGGGAGGGGGCGGCGGGCCCCCCGCGGGACGGCAGCGGCTCCGGCAGCGAAGCGGAGCCCGGGACCGCGGCGGCGGCGGCTCCGGGGCACTGGGCGCGGGACCCCGGCGCCCGCGATGACCCCGGGCCCGGCGCCGGCGCGCTGCTGCCCCAGCTCACCCTGGAGAAGCGGCCGGGCCCCTCCCGGCCCCGCGGGGACCCCTGGGAGCCGGAGGACGAGGCGGAGGAGGCGCTGGAGAGGGAGCTGGAGCTGAGCCTGGGGCCGGGCCTGGAGGCGCCGTGCTTCCCGGGCGCCGCGGGCAGGCCCCCAGGGGCCCTCCTGGAGGACACCGAGGACCTGGCCCGGCTGCGGTGAGCGCCCTGCCCACCGCCGGCCTGGGGCGCCTCCTCCTCCTTTTTTGTAGCCCGTGGAGGGGTCGGGCCTGCCGAACGTGGCCAGGCTCAGGGACCGGAGGGTGGTGACCAGCAGATGTCCCTGCTTGGGACTTCCTTCTCTAACCCACACGAAGCTTCCCTGTTTGCCAGCCCCTTGGCCCCGTCATGGATGGGCCCAGAGAGGGGCATTGCCCAGTGTCTGCAGCCAGTGGCAGAACCCCAGTAACTGGGACCTCCTCCCTCCTCTGCCCGCCCCCCATGCCTGCCGCCGGCCCCGCAGCCCGCTGTGTGACAGCGCCGTCCTGCTGTGCCTCAAGAAGAGGTTTCGCCTGGGCCGCATCTACGTATGGGGCACCCCGAGGGGACGGGGGCTGGGACTCCCTTTCTCCCGGGATCCGAGGGCCCTCCAGCACCCAGAGCATCTCCCTCTCCTCCTTCCTGGCTGGCCGAACCCTCTCGGGCCCTGCAGAGCGGGCCGGGGTCTGGGCGGGAAGCATCTGCGCCTCCCGCCAGCTCCAAGTTCTGGTGAGAGCTCGTGCTTCCCTCCCCAGACCTTTGGGGGGCCCCTCCTGCTCGCTCTGAACCCCCGCCGGCCGCTGCCCGTCTTCTCGCCTGAGGTCCTGGCCAGCTACGGCCCCCGGAAGGCCCCCAGTGCCAGCCCGTGAGTGACCTTCTCCACCCACCTTTGGTTCAACCCCCAGCGGCTAGGCCCCGGCGGGCCCCACTGACTGCGGTCCTGGGGGGACGGTGGGGCACCCCGCCTCCACCTACGAGGGCCCAGAGGCCCCTGCGGCCTTCCCACCCGCCCGCCCTCTCTCCCCAGGCACGTCTTCGCCATCGGGGCTTCGGCCCGAAGCCTGGCTCAGAGCGCGGGGCGGGACGCAGGCATCCTCCTCAGGTGAGGGCTGGCTGCCTGTCCGGGAACCCACAGGCCACACGAGGCGGGCCGGGCGGGGAGGGCTGTGTGGAAACTGCCGCTCTGCTCCAGGGCATGGCCGCTCCGGACGCTGAGGGCCTGGTGCTGGCTGGCATGACCGCCTGTGCCCTGGAACGAGGCAGCTCGGGGGCTTTTGCTGTCGGGTCTCCGTGCCCCGGGACTATCTGCCTTTGGGGATGTCCCCACTGCACGGCTCAGTGGGGTGATGCGATGGGCCCTCCCCGGAGGCCCTGCCAGCCCCTCCCTCCCTCCCGCAGTGGGCACAGCGGCTCAGGGAAGACAGAAGCCGCCAAGCAGATCGTGCGCTTCCTGAGCGGCCTGGAGCAGCAGCAGACGGGGGACGGAGGATGTCAGGTGGGGGCAGCTGGCCGTTTCCCGGGACCACCCTTCTCCTTCCGGCCGGGACGGGGTCTTCGGGCCCTGGCGTCTCCTCAGGGACAGCCCGGGCATTGCCTGCTGTGGGGGCACCAGCCGGGTCCCAGGCACAGAGTGCCCACAGCTGGGAGGCCTGGCCAGGGGCTCATTGCTCTGCTGGGCCGATCTGAATGCCCGTCCCCACCAGCTGGACCACGTGCTGCCCTGGCTCGGCAGCTTTGGCCATGCCAAGACAGTCCTCAACGCCAACGCCAGCCGCTTCGGGCAGGTCCTGGGTCTCTGCCTGCAGCAGTAAGTGAGGGGGGGCCAGGTGGGCACGGGGGCCACCACCATCAGCTTCCTGGGAACCTGAGTCGGCCGCCCACGGTGGGTCCCATTCTCAGCGGGGCACCCCCACCCGGTGTCCTGTGCCCACAGGGGGGTCATCGTGGGGGCTTCTGTGTCCCATTATCTGCTTGAGACCTCGAGGGTGGTGTTTCAGGTAAGACCCACGCTGCAGCTCACCCCTTCCCAGCTCCTAGAATGGGGAAGAGGGATGGATTACGGGGGGTGGGGGGGTGTTCCTAGGCCCCCAGGCCTGCCCTCCCCAGGACTTGTCCTTGCTGCCCTGGGCACAGGACCAGGCCACGGTCCCCCTAAGCCAGGCCTTCTCTGCCAAGGCCCAGGCCGAGCGGAGCTTCCATGTTTTCTATGAGCTGCTGGCGGGGCTGGACCCCACGGAACGGGAGCAGCTGTCCCTGCAGGAGCCGGAGACCTACCACTACCTCAACCAGGTGGGGGCAGGGCCCGCCCAGGGAAGGGTCTTGGTAGGGGGGGGTCTGAAGAGGAGCTGGGGTAGAGCAAGGCCAGGGGGCCAGGCCCTGCTGCCCACCCCTGCTGTGCTCCGCAGGGCCAGGCCTGCAGGCTCCAGGGCAAGGAGGATGCCCAGGACTTCACGGGACTGGTGAAGGCGCTGCAGGCGCTGGGCTTGTGCCCGGAGGAGCTGACCGCAGTGTGGGCCGTGCTGGCTACCATCCTGCAGCTGGGCAACATCTGCTTCTCCTCGACAGAGGTGGGCTCCCCGGAGGCGCCGAGCCCACGGGGCTTGTGTGCATAATCAGGGCAGCAGTCACAATGCCCGAGCTGCGTGGATGTGGGAGACTGTGCAGCCCGGGGCCTCCAGCTGCTCCGGAAAGCAGGCAGACGCCCACCAGCCAGATGGGCAGCAGACCTGGAGTTTTGGCATCTGTGCCACTGCCTGTCCCACTCAGCTGCCACCCCCGGAAGCACACCTGGTACTAACTGAGCAGCTGTTATGGACCAGGCCCTGTGTAAGCCACTGGACATACGTTTCCTTTTTTTAAGATATTTTATTGATTTTTGTACAGAGAGGAAGGGAGAGAAAGAGTTAGAAACATCGATGAGAGAGAGTCATCGATCAGCTGCCTCTTGTACACCCCCTACTGGGGATGTGCCCGCAACCAAGGTACATGCCCTTGACCGGAATCGAACCCGGGACCCTTCGGTCCCCAAGCCGACGCTCTATCCATTGAGCCAAACCGATCTTGGCTGTACATACGTTTTCTAATTTGGTTCTCAGGAAAAGCCTGGAACATAAGTGTGCTGGGCCAGCACGGCCATGGGTGAACCTGAGGGGGGCGCAGTGAAGGATTACAAAAGACAGACAAGAGAATAAAGCTGGGGCCAGGGGGGGCGCTGCCCTCTGATTAGAGACAGTGCCGCGGCCTGCAAGCCGAGTATTTCATAGCCAGATTCCACCAGGCAAAGGAAGGGCGTGGTCGAGATGTTTACAATGTTCTCGTGGGTTTCGAATCTACTCAATGACACGCACCTGGTCAAGCGTTGTTTACTTGCTGCACCTCCCGCAGCCCACATCACTCAGCCACCTGGGAGCTGCCCTCCACAATAAGGGCTGTGTCTCCCCTTTTGCAATAAGACAGTGGCGGTTCAGAGAGGAAAGAGACGTGTGAGGCGGGCTAGCTAGTGAAGAGATGAAGTCAGGACTCACACTCAGGGCCCTTGGACCATAGAGCGGGCTCCTGCGGCCCAGACCCATCTATCTACCTTCGGGGAACCAGGCAGCTGCTGTGCAAAGCGAGGCCGGCCTCTGCCTTGTGGGACGTGGCCGCTGCCCAAGCACAGCGCCCCCTGTCCCTGCCCCCTCCTTCCTCTGCCCAGAGGGAGTCCCAGGAGGTGGCTGCCGTGTCCAGCTGGGCCGAGATCCACACCGCAGCCCGGCTGCTGCGGGTGCCGCCCGAGGGCCTGGAGAGGGCCGTCACCAGGCGGGTCACGGTGAGCTTGAAGGTCCCAGGGAGGCGTGGGCACGGCCGGACCACCCGATGGCTGGCCGAGTGCCCATGTGGGCCTAGGCCTGACATGCCCCGTGCACACACTCTGCCCCCAGGAGACACCCTACGGCCCGGCCTCAAGATCGCTGTCGCTGGAGAGGGCCATAGATGCCAGGTGCCCTGGGGGCAAGAGAGAGCCGGAGCCTCGCCTGGCAGTCCGCTGCACGTGCTCACACCCCGTGCCCACAGGGACGCCCTGGCCACGGCCCTGTACTCGCGGCTCTTCGGCTGGCTTCTGAGGAGGACCAACACGCGGCTGGCCCCGCCCGGGGAGGGAGGCAGCACGGAGACCATCACTGTGGCGGACGTCTATGGTTTTGAGGTCATCCCCTGGCCATGGGTTCAGGACAGGGTGCCCACTTCATACTGATTGATTCCGGGGGCCTCAGTAGCGCCAGCTTCCCTGTGAGGGGCACCGGTGACCTGTTAGCCTGCCAGGCCCTGATGGCCCATGAGTCAGCTGCACACCCCGTAAAGGCAGCCCATCTGCCCTACTCGGTCCAGGCCCGACATCGCCTCTGGGGCAGCGGGAGGTGAAGGCCCAGCATGGGGCGGCCACAGCCTCGTCTCCGGTGCACCCTGGGCCCTCCAGTCACCCCGGCTTTCACAAGCTCCCTACCCCTTCCCAGGGGGTCCTGCCTCTGCAGGGCAGGGAGGAGGGGCTAGAACAAGAGGGAGCCCCCCCTGGACGGGCCCTGTTCGCTGCCCGCCCCTCCAGGGTGTCCTTGGTGACCATGACAAGTATGTGTGCGCCCGTGTGCATGCGTGCTCTTGTGTGTTTAAGATAAGGCAACCAGATACCCCGTTTTTGGCAGGACAGTCCGATTTTGAACAATTTGTCCGGCGTCCCGCGGCGTTTTAAAAATGTCCTGATTGTGCCGGAACCAGTTTGGCTCAGTGGATAGAGCGTCGGCCTGGGGACTGAAAGGTCCCGGGTTCGATTCCGGTCAAGGGCATGTACCTTGGTTGCGGGCGCATCCCCAGTAGGGGGTGTGCAAGAGGCAGCTGATCGATGATTCTCTCTCATCCATGTTTCTAACTTTCTATCCCTCTCTCTTCCTCTCTGTGAAAAATCAATAAAATATATTTTAAAAATAAGTAAATAAAAATGTCCTGATTGGGACTTTTCTTAAAACGCCGCGGGACGCGAGACAAATTGTTTAAAATCGGGATGTCTGGTCACCTTAGTTTAAGAATGTGTCAAAGCCCTCTATCCAAAGCTACAGGAAGTGGGGGCTGTGCCGGGGGGCACGCAGGAAGGAGTCTGTAATCCCCTACAGGAGCAATATGTAAAGGCTTCTGGAGGCAGCAGCCTGGAGC